CGGAGGGTCCCGGAGGGCCGCTGGGCAGAGACGGAGGGTCCCGGAGGGCCGCTGGGCAGAGACGGAGGGTCCCGGAGGGCCGCTGGGCAGAGACGGAGGGTCCCGGAGGGCCGCTGGGCAGAGACGGAGGGTCCCGGAGGGCCGCTGGGCAGAGACGGAGGGTCCCGGAGGGCCGCTGGGCAGAGACGGAGGGTCCCGGAGGGCCGCTGGGCAGAGACGGAGGGTCCCGGAGGGCCGCTGGGCAGAGACGGAGGGTCCCGGAGGGCCGCTGGGCAGAGACGGAGGGTACCGGAGGGCCGCTGGGCAGAGACGGAGGGTCCCGGAGGGCCGCTGGGCAGAGACGGAGGGTCCCGAAGGGCCGCTGGGCAGAGACGGAGGGTCCCGGAGGGCCGCTGGGCAGAGACGGAGGGTCCCGGAGGGCCGCTGGGCAGAGACGGAGGGTCCCGGAGGGCCGCTGGGCAGAGACGGAGGGTCCCGGAGGGCCGCTGGGCAGAGACGGAGGGTCCCGGAGGGCCGCTGGGCAGAGACGGAGGGTCCCGGAGGGCCGCTGGGCAGAGACGGAGGGTACCGGAGGGCCGCTGGGCAGAGACGGAGGGTCCCGGAGGGCCGCTGGGCAGAGACGGAGGGTCCCGAAGGGCCGCTGGGCAGAGACGGAGGGTCCCGAAGGGCCGCTGGGCAGAGACGGAGGGTCCCGGAGGGCCGCTGGGCAGAGACGGAGGGTCCCGGAGGGCCGCTGGGCAGAGACGGAGGGTCCCGGAGGGCCGCTGGGCAGAGACGGAGGGTCCCGGAGGGCCGCTGGGCAGAGACGGAGGGTACCGGAGGGCCGCTGGGCAGAGACGGAGGGTCCCGGAGGGCCGCTGGGCAGAGACGGAGGGTCCCGAAGGGCCGCTGGGCAGAGACGGAGGGTCCCGGAGGGCCGCTGGGCAGAGACGGAGGGTCCCGGAGGGCCGCTGGGCAGAGACGGAGGGTCCCGGAGGGCCGCTGGGCAGAGACGGAGGGTCCCGGAGGGCCGCTGGGCAGAGACGGAGGGTCCCGGAGGGCCGCTGGGCAGAGACGGAGGGTCCCGGAGGGCCGCTGGGCAGAGACGGAGGGTACCGGAGGGCCGCTGGGCAGAGACGGAGGGTCCCGGAGGGCCGCTGGGCAGAGACGGAGGGTCCCGAAGGGCCGCTGGGCAGAGACGGAGGGTCCCGGAGGGCCGCTGGGCAGAGACGGAGGGTCCCGGAGGGCCGCTGGGCAGAGACGGAGGGTCCCGGAGGGCCGCTGGGCAGATGCAGAGGGACGCTGGGGACGTCGGGGAGGGACTCCTGCAGAAAACCTATGTAGAGGGTAAACAGTGGACTGGACATCGGACGATCACACGGCAGCGTCTGAAGTGTACCCTCCAAAACTGATGCCGCAAGGCTCCGTCAAAGAGGGTAGCCCTGGGTCAGCAATTTCCCAAGACTGGCACCTCTGGCAGGGCAGCCATCGGTCAACAATTCCGCGAAACTGGCACCTCTGGCCTGGCAGCGGAGTCGCCGGTGGGATCAGCTGTCAGACGGGTTGCCAGTTGTTGCCAGACGGGTTGCCAGCCGCGAGTAGCCCAGAAGTGGGTCAGTATGTATGTCCGGGGGGCAGCTGTTTGCAGGGGGGGGGGGGGCTGATGGCATGGAGTGCGGGTAGGGCAGTATCTGGGACAGGTCGGACAGGTACGGCAGGTGAGACGGGTGGGACAGGTGGGACAGGTGGGACAGGTACGGCAGGTGGGACAGGTACGGCAGGTGGGACAGGTACGGCAGGTGGGACAGGTACGGACAGGGGGGACAGGTACGGCAGGTGGGGCAGGTGAGACGGGTTGGGACAGGGGGGTTGGGACATGTGGGACAGGGGGGACAAGTACGGCAGGTGGGACAGGTGGGACAGGGGGTGGGACAGGTACGGCAGGTGGGACAGGTACGGCAGGTGGGATAGGGGGTGGGACAGGTGGGACAGGGGTGGGATAGGGGTGGGACAGGTGGGATAAGGGTGGGACAGACACGGCAGGTGGGACAGGTACGGCAGGTCGGACGGGGTGGGGTCTGTGGGACAGTTGCACACGCGGGGAGGAGATGTGTGTCCTGTTGGGCATGTCCCCGTGATGTGACCGGCCACAGCGATCAGCAGCGAGAACCACAGTAACAAACCACACTAGTGACCGGGCAGTGGTGACACTACGGCCTACGCACAAAATAGCATTCCCCGGAGCAGGACAGAAAGAGGGAAGAAGAGACAGGGAAAGGGGAGAAGGGGAGGAAGAGAGAGAGAGAGAGAGAGAGAGAGAGAGAGAGAGAGAGAGAGAGAGAGAGAGAGAGAGAGAGAGAGAGAGAGAGAGACAGAGAGAGAGAGACAGAGAGAGAGAGAGAGAGAGAGAGAGAGAGAGAGAGAGAGAGAGAGAGAGAGAGAGAGAGAGAGAGAGAGAGAGAGAGAGAGAGAGACAGAGACAGAGACAGAGACAGAGACAGAGACAGAGACAGAGACAGAGACAGAGACAGAGACAGAGACAGAGACAGAGACAGAGACAGAGACAGAGACAGAGACAGAGACAGAGACAGAGAGAGAGAGAGAGAGAGAGAGAGAGAGAGAGAGAGAGAGAGAGAGAGAGAGAGAGAGAGAGAGAGAGAGAGAGAGAGAGAGAGCAAAGGAGAGGGGAGACGACAGGAGGGAAGAAAATATTTAAGGAGAAAAGAGGGGAAGATTTTTTGAATTGAACTTTTTGAGCCAAACACGTACACATATGATAAAATGAATGCCACCATCGTGTTCTACGCCCCAAATTACCCATAAAACATGTGTCACGGGCTGCAAATATCAGTTTTGATTTTCGGGGATATGTGCCTACCCGGTTGACCTGACCTTGACCCTGACCTATGCTTGACTGACCCCTACATGGAGCCGACACTCTTGTAGGCCTTATATGATGGATTGTGCACCGTTTTGACAGAGTTTATGACGAGAGGCGCCCATAGCGAAGTCCTGAAGTCCATGCTACTGAAAGCCCGATTTCAGGTGTTTGACCTGACCTTGACCCGACCTGTGACCTCAAAATTCAACTTTAAAGTACTCATCTGAAGCGTCTCGTCGCGTTCTTTCGTTTGCCGCCTCGTGCGTTTCGCTGCGCCTATTGGTTCTCGAGTTATCGGCTGGGGGCGTTTAACGCCCCCCCCCCCCCAGCAAACGGTGGGTGGCGAAATACCCCAGCAACTGCCGGGATAGGGGAGACCCGGGATATCATTCTGGAACAGAGACAACACAACAAGGTAATATCACTGATGTTAGTTGTCGGACTTTCGTCCCAGTCTTGAGTTGAGATGTTAGTTTCACATTCTGGTAATGTGGCCCAGCTAGTTAGTGAAACTAACATCTCAACTCAAGACGGGGACGAAAGTCCGACAACTAACATCAGTGATACTAACACCTCGTCTCAAGCATTCAGAAGAGGGGAAGATGATTAAGAGTCTCGTAATGTGCCCTTTCCTCCCACCTCCATCCCCCTCCTTCACCGGCGCTGCCCGGGTCCTCCCCATGACCTTGAGCGGCGGCGTCAACACGCCCCCCCCTCTGACGTCATGGACCCGGGGGGGGGGGGAGCCGCCGCGCGGCACACCGACTGTCGGCCGGGACGACGGAACAAGTCCGACGGAAGGCGCAGTTGATGGGGGGGGGGGGCAGAACGGGTGGGGAGCGGCGCCCGAACAATGCTGGATCATCGCCCGGGGGTATGGTGCATGTATCTCCAGAGTCCATCCTCAGATAATAGGTATTTTCAAGATTAATTGTGATCACTCTGTGAGCCCCAAAAATATGGCCTGAGATGCAGCGTTTCCTTGTATGATCAACCCGTGTTTCCATATGTTTTGGTTCGCGAATGGGCTTAAGCTTTATGCAAAAATCACAGCAACAACTGATGGTGTGAAAAACGAATATTATTTATTTCTGCACAAAAAATGAGCCCTGTTTCAAACAGTTCTAGCAAGTAAGTTAATGAATGATTCCTGCAGGTGCAGTAAAGCCCCAGCCAAAAAACAGTACAGAAAGAAGTAGGCATTTTGCCAAGTGCTGCCCCTCCCATTCTGCTAACACAACTCAACACTATCAATGAACCCAGCATTGGTAATTTTATGGTCAAATCAAGCTACCACTTCAAAGCAATACCAACACATGGAAAATCAAATCAAGGGTATATGCCTACATGAAATTTTTAACTATTAGTTTCAAAGGCAAAAACACTAACAGTAGGTACCTAACTATTGAGCAATTTAACTGTAAGGAGTACCTAACAGTAAAACCTGCCAAAAAATCCTATAACATCAGTGTTATTCAGCCTAGCATGGTCTGCGGTATGCCTGCCCTTCCCACAGGTCATGTCTAGATAAGGTAAGAGGTGACCCATCAATTATCCAGACAGGAATAAGGCATTGTGCATTAGGTACCTACTCTGGTGCATAGTGCATACCAGCATAAAATTCAATAATTTTAATGACAGCTTAACAAATACAGCATGTCCCATTGTCATCATATGTGCCAGCATTATGCTGGTAAAAGTGTGATGCAGAGTGGCTTCCTTCTCATGAGTCACATCCATTGTTGCCACCATATGACTGCAACTAAAGAAAGCTCTCCTACTCCTGAGAATACGAACAGAATCGAGCAGCAGGATCAGATTCAGGTTCTAGTGCCAAACAGTGTGCTTCAGTCCAATATGACAAAGGGCTGCTTGCTTAGACCCAGTACATGGTATGACACCCTGTGGCATGATTCGTAACGCTACCAGTACAGGATGCCTATGCTACAGCATCCAGTAAGGTGGTGTCACAGCCAGGAGTCTACTCCCTACAACATGCTGCCAGTACTAGTACAGAGAAGTGCCCAGTGGCACAGGGAACAGGCTGCAGTCCCCGGCACGGGTGAGGGGCTCGCTCAGACCCAGTGCGGCCCGCAGGGTGCCAGTACAGCCTCAGCCCTCAAGGGTGCGGCGCGCTCACCTCCGGGCGTGGTGGAGAAGATGGTGCCGCCGGGCGTGGAGCTGTAGTCGTGCGGCAGCTCGCTGACGTGGCCCAGCTGCACGCTCCTCGTGGGGATGTTTTGGCTCATCGACTGGCGGGCCATCGGAGAGGCAGACATTTTGCAGACGAATCAGCGGCGACCAGCGACAGCGACGTGTCTCACAGCGGGCTCACAGCCTGGGCGGTCGGCGGTCTCTGCTCCACAGGAACGGCGACCTAATGCACGTAAAATCAGCACAGCAACGCAAAATCGCGAGGGGCGACCTGAAACACGACAGACCCGCCTCCGAAACAACGTAAACAGCAACAAATACGGTCAGCTACTGCGCCACTACTGTTACAGCTGCGTATTTGTTGTAGCGAATATAACATGTGACGACTTTTGTGCGCAGTTTCTGTAAATGTAAATATAAATCGATCCAACTTTTTGAAGAAATTGCCTGAATTTTTAAAACTGTTATAATGTTTTAAAATCTGATCAAGCAAATTTAAAACAAAAAAACAACAACAAAAATTATAGTCCCTGATAATCCTTGAATTAGACATGCCATTTTTCATGGATTTTAGGACCATAACTCCTTTATTTACAATCAGTAAAATCATAAGCGAGCGAGACTTCGAGTCACGGCGTTTTTGTGGCGATTTTGTGGCGTTTTCTGACCCAAAAAGTCTGAGTGAAGTATTGTGCATGCAGGAGCGGGCGGAATCTAATCAGGAATGCTCTGCAGCAAATCAATAACAAAATACTTCCGGTTCTTTGGCTCGCTATTTTGGAAAGTGGCTGCTCTAATCACAAACACTAAAAAATATTTTGTTTACCAATGAAGATAACATTTAAATCGTTTTATCTTATTGTGAATCATTTTTCAATATTTATATTTTTCAAATTTTTTACCTTTTTTACCATTTTTCAAGTTAAATGCAAAAAGTGTTTTTGATCAAAGACAGCGCCTCAGAGTCTCCAAACATCCTATTTCCGGCAGCGCGTCGCGGTGGAGGGTGGGTCCGCTCCCCCTCCTTCAGTATTTTGTTATTTGGGCCTAGCCAAGGCTAGATTCCTCTCAGAGCCAGAGGTAACTTAAATTATTGAGTTGTTTCGGTGAGTTGTTTTTGTTTGTTTCCAGAGATCAGTTTGGGAAACTACGAGGCGAAGATCTTAAAATTGATTGGTCAACAAATAGACTTTTGATCATCATATATGGGCAGCCCTCGCTACTCAGTTGGGGAAACTACAAGGCGAACATAAAAAATAGATTGGTCAGTGAATGGACTTTTGATGACCATATATGGGCATAACTGCGGCCCCACTACTAAGGGCTAAAAACGGTATCACAAGCTGGTACTTGCGGTATCACGTTCACTTATCGGAAAGAAAAGGCTTCCATTTTCCACTAGGAATTAGTGTGATTTGATTAAATTCAGCTAATTGACAAAAAAAGGTGATAGGAAAACTGCTTTTCTGGGTATTAGTATATATTAGGCCCTAGTGGATAATTGTGACGCTGTTGATACAAATATGTAACAGCAAAAATTTTAGGTTTTAGGTTAGGTTAGGTTGTAGGTTTTAGGTTGGTAGGTTTGTAGATTTTAGGTTTTTAGGTTGTAGGTTGGTAGGTTGTAGGTAAATAGGTAAGGTTAGGTCAGGTTTGATTATGTTTTTCTCTTTTTCTTTGCAAGACATAAGTATCATTTTTGGATTCAGGATGTCAAATAATGTAAGAATATGAAAATTTTATCTTTTATATAACAGTCACTCTGGCTCAATGTATACTTTTACCATGGATGAAGGAGAACCTGGATTGGAAACTAACAGCTGATTGCGTTCCCTTCGGTAAGTGCCCGAGGGCACGCGCGGCGGCAGCGGGAGCCGCGTCTGCCGCGCATTCACTGGCGCCGCGTAAGCGTTCACCGGTGCCGCGTAAGAGAAAAACACTAGAAATGGCCCCCTTTTTCAAGGTCGCCTGTATTCGGCCCTCGTGTACGACTTTTGTGCGGAACGGACAATAATAGTTTTGGTATCATTCGATAGCCTGATCAATTTTGTCTGTCGTAAATAGCTTCTAAACCTAAAAATAAATCCGCATTGCGGTCTAATACCCGTTTCAAAACATGCCGCCCCGCGTCCCCCATAGGCCGTAATGCTGAACGGCGGGAGTTTCCAGTCCCGATACTTACCGAACGCTAGGTGGCAGGTCGATCGCCCGGAACGCTGCCCGTAATGTTGAAGGAATAGGAGTTTCCTATCCAGTTTCTTTCATCCATGCTTTTACCCTTTTCTGCAGGTTCTGGGCGTCACAATTAGTTGGCCATTCAATAAATGGATTTGTGTTTTGAAAGAAAATTGTTAAAAGATTATATGATATGTGTTTGTATGTCTGTGTGTGTCTGTGTGTATACTGATGTGTGCACCCAGTGTTTATGTGTCCATATTACATGAAATCATGATCTGACAAGCTTTTACCAAAAATGCAGTAAATAAAAACTTCACAAAAAGTAAATTCAGCTTGCCTAAAACGAAATTATTTTAGATGACCTAGGTTGACCTTGACCCTGACCTTGACATCTGTACGTCGTCAAACAACATGTTCCATGATAGGTGGGAGGTAAGACTGGCAAAAAAGGCCGAAATCAAGGTGTCAAAAGCTCACAAGGCCCATAGCCAAAGCAAGATGTTGAGAATTGGTCATTTGGGTCATGACATGACCTGGAAAACAAGGTCATATCTCTGAAATCAAAAACCACAGAAACTTGAAATTTTCAGTTGACATCAAGAAAGGATAGAGGAGCAGCTATACCAAAAATCAGGCTTCTAGCTCTAAAAATGTTGAGTGCAGTGCAGAGCAGAAAGACTACCGGGGGGGGGGGGGGGTGGCAACCCCCCCCCCGCCATTTGTGGGCGAGGGTTAACACATAATACATGAGAAAAGCTTGATTGTGCTGAAAGGTAGCCTGTAGCCTTCACTACCACCTATATAGTGTTGTTCTATGCCCAGGCCGGACCAGGTTGAAAAAGCTTTGGACACTGTCTGATGTCCCAAAAGCACCTCCATGAGGCGCCACATGTATCATCTGGATGCAGGGTGCCATACTGTAAGAATATACAAAATTTATGTCTGGAAAGTGAATCGGACTTCTGAATATCGACCTTTTATTGTTCTAAGCTGCTGTGTTTCACATGAGTCATTTAGTCAGTTCTGCTACTGACTGCTCTGAAGACACTCAACTTCTGATGGCTGTGCTGTGGCCGGAGGGCTGTCTCCTACCGCACTCTACCTCACTGACTGTGTTTGGCACCCCCGCAGATGGACTGTTCGCCACCAGAGCAGAATTGGCACGGACGGAGCAGTCTGCAGAGACGGCCGGGCAGCGTCTGTCCGCGGTCTGCAGACGGCTGAACTGCGTCTGTCCGCGGTCTGCAGACGACTGAACTGCGTCTGTCAGCGGTCTGCCGACGGCTGAACTGCGTCTGTCCGCGGTCTGCAGACGGCTGAACTGCGTCTGTCCGCGGTCTGCAGACGGCTGAACTGCGTCTGTCCGCGGTCTGCAGACGGCTGAACTGCGTCTGTCCGCGGTCTGCAGACGGCTGAACTGCGTCTGTCCGCGGTCTGCAGACGGCTGAACTGCGTCTGTCCGCAGTCTGCAGACGGTTGAACACACTGTCCGCGGTCTGCAGACGGCTGAACTGCGTCTGTCCGCGGTCTGCAGACGGCTGAACTGCGTCTGTCCGCGGTCTGCAGACGGCTGAACTGCGTCTGTCCCCGCTGACGCTCTGAGGATGTCGTCCGGCCGCCGACCCAGCCGCGCGGTGACGCAGGTACGACACTCGCCGCGCGGAGCGGCCGCGGCCCTCCTGTGTAGTCTCAGTGATGACTTACCCAGTCAGTTCTGCTACTGATCGCTTTGACGACGCCCGACTCCTGATGTCGCCCAGTGGTCCCGGTGTCCCCGACCGTTGGTCGGCCCGTCTGACCCGTCCCCCTCTCTGCGGCCCTCCCTGCAGACACCGCGGCAGAGGCTACATCGGCCCCGGAGGGACCGGGCAGAGGCTGCCAGCCGCGGCGGAGGCCACACCGGCCCTGTACTGCTGCCACTAGGGGCCGATGGATGCTACCCTGGAGGACCCGCCGGGCGCCGGGCGGACCTATCGGCTCGTCTGACTGCCGCGTTAACTCGGGTACGTACTACCTTCGGCAGCGGCGAGCCGCGCCGTATTGAAGATTGAAGGGCGACATTACTTAGCTGCCATCTTAACCTTGAACGCATTGTTTTGTATTTTAGAATGGTGCAGATGAAATCAGCAAACGTAAGGGTGAGCTATTTGCTTGTTATGTTCAATGAGCACCGGACGATGTGTGGCGCCGTTGTTGATCTCTGTACCTCCGCTGTGATGATTTCCACCAGTCAGTTCTGCTACTGAGGCGCTGTGACGACAGTCGACTGCTGACGGGGCGGGTCCGTCCGCCGGCCCTGTCCGCCCCGAGTCCGGCTGACGGCGCCTCCCTGTCTTCCAGACGGGTCCGAGCTGGCGCCTGCCGGAGACCGGAGACTGGAGCCGGTGGCGGACGGCCGCCGGCGCTCCGGTCCTAGCTCGCGCCTGCTGCGCGCGCAGCGTGTGCCGCCGCGCCGAGAGGACTGCCGACTGCAGGGGTCGGCACTGCGGTGAGAGAGCAGCTGTGCCGACTGCAGGGGGCGGCACTGCGGCCACTGCGTGCTGTGAACTCCGGCGGCCGTGTGCCGCGGCCAGGGCTGTGCTGTGACCACTGTGCTGTAGGTGGGCGGTGCGCTGCGGCCAGGGCTGTGCTGTAGGTGGGTGGTGTGCCGCAGCTAGGAGCCAGGGCTGTGCTGTGACCACTGTGCTGTAGGTGGGCGGTGTGCCGCAGCCAGGGCTGTGCTGTGACCACTGTGCTGTAGGTAGGCGGTGTGCTGCGGCCACTGTGCTGTAGGTGGGCGGTGTGCCGCAGCCAGGGCTGTGCTGTGACCACTGTGCTGTAGGTAGGCGGTGTGCTGCGGCCACTGTGCTGTAGGTGAGCGGTGTGCCGCAGCCAGGGCTGTGCTGTAGGTGGGCGGTGTGCCGCAGCCAGGGCTGTGCTGTCACCACTGCTCTGTGATGTCCGGTCGGCTGTGACAGTCCCTAGGCTCGGCAGTGGGGTTGTTGTGTACTTTGGTAATGCGCTGGCCGCTACAATTCACCGCTGCGAAGGGCAGAACGTCACATGGCAGCTGTAGCCACTTTGTAATGAAATGGTTCAGTTATGTGCGTGTGTCTCAGCTGTGTCATGTTCAATATATCGTCTACGTCATTAATACCGGTTTTAATCAGTTTCGTATGATTCGCTGGCAGAGGCAGTACACCGGGCTATTCTTAAATCCCGATTTCGGTGTATTTTACCATACAGATGGAGTGAGTGTGACCTTTGACGACACACTGCCCAGCGGTCAGCCTCGGCCGATCACACACAGCACTCGGGCACAGGAACGAGCGTGAAGCGCGTCCAACACATCTGACATATACATACTTGATACTGATCAATCAATCGACGGTAACTGCATGATGCATGACATTTGTTTCACTGACGGGACCTTCGTGCTGGAGACACTAATTTATGATTTTCGGACACGTCTTTTTTCGTTTTATTCGAAAGTCTTGCCCCCCTCACTCTAACGTGGATAACAGCGGAGCATATAATTCAAGTACGTCCTCACCAGCGAGGTTTTATCCGCATAGCAGTAACGAAAACCCGACTGACTGCCGATGTCCCCTCATTACGCGGTCGGGCTCGCCAGCATGCTGCCGTGACCGCTGTCCGTACCAGCGCTACCAGCGCCCTCTTTCCCACTCGTAGCCTGGTCGCCAGCGCCATCTGCAGACGGCGGCCGCCGCCGACTGGCCAGCGGCGTCGGCAGCGGCTCGTGGGTGGCCGCCGCCGCCAGTGACGTCACCAGGGTAGGCCGTGACGTCACCGGCGGCCGGGTGACCTGGTCAGGCCGCAGGTAACCCTCCGTGAGGTCGTTGATCTTTTGAACTGAGGTCCAGCTGCCGGCAGAGGGAAAGGAATCGGTGATCTAATGTAGCTTCAGCGACCACTGGCTCTCGATGAGTCCCCTTTTAGACCCAGTCCCTAGTCTTAGTCCTACCACGGTGACTATAAATAGTCCTCCCAGACCCAGTCCCCATCCCTCTAATCCAGTCGCCTAGCCCAGTCCTCTCCGATCCCATCTCCTAATCCAGCCTCCACTAGCACCGTCCTCTCATACACCGTCCTCTCTGACCCAGTCCCCGGACCCAGTCCCAGTCCCAGACCTATGTGTTCCATCCTCACCTGATGTGGTTCTCGCTGCCCCGTTGTTCCTCGCCGTGACCCGGACCGGGCTGCTCACGCGGTCCGCCGTGGCCCGGACCGGGCTGCTCACGCGGTCCGCCGGGGGCCGCTCTGACGTCATACTGTCCGCCGCCGGGGGCCGCGCTGACGTCATACTGTCCGCCGGGGGCGGGCTGCCCGGGGTCCGCCGTGGAGTGGTGGTCCTGCCACCTCCCGTGGTCCCACGAGGCCTCTCCGTGCCGGTGTTCCTCTCCAGGTCGGTGGTCCTGTCCGTACTGCTGGTCCCATATAATGTGTCGGTGGTCTTCTCCGTATTGATGTTCCTCTCTAGCTCGGTGCTCCTCTCCGTGTTGATAGTCCCCTGCGTGTCGGTGGTCCTCTCTCCAGAGTGCCTCCTCGTCCCAGCGGTCCCCGTCGTGTCCTCCGTGGCCGTCCTCCCCGGCGGGCGGCTGCAGCTCCAGCAGCGTCTGCGGCGCCTCCTCCAGCCGGCGCCGCAGCGCCGCCAGGATCTTGGGCAGCTCCTCCTCCAGGGAGGGCTCGGCAGAGGTCCGTCCGCTGGCGCCCGGCTCTGTGATACAGAGGGTGAGGGAGGGGTCGGCTGTGATACAGAGGGTGAGGGAAGGATCGGCTGTGATACAGAGGGTGACGGAGGGGTCGGCTGTGATACAGAGGGTGAGGGAAGGGTCGGCTGTGATACTGTGATACAGAGGGTGAGGGAAGGGTCGGCTGTGATACAGAGGGTGAGGGAAGGGTCGGCTGTGATACTGTGATACAGAGGGTGAGGGAAGGGTCGGCTGTGATACAGACGGTGAGGGAAGGGTCGGCTGTGATACAGAGGGTGAGGGAAGGGTCGGCTGTGATACAGAGGGTGAGGGAAGGGTCGGCTGTGATACTGTGATACAGAGGGTGAGGGAAGGGTCGGCTGTGATACAGAGGGTGAGGGAAGGGTCGGCTGTGATACAGAGGGTGAGGGAAGGGTCGGCTGTGATACTGTGATACAGAGGGTGAGGGAAGGGTCGGCTGTGATACAGAGGGTGAGGGAAGGGTCAGCTGTGATACAGAGGGTGGGGGATGGGTCGGCTGTGATACAGAGGGCGAGGGAAGGGTCGGCTGTGATACAGAGGGTGAGGGAGGGGTCAGCTGTGATACAGAGGGTGAGGGAGGGGTCGGCTGTGATACAGAGGGTGAGGGAGGGGTCAGCTGTGATACAGAGGGTGAGGGAGGGGTCGGCTGTGACACAGGGTGAGGGAAGGGTCGGCTGTGATACAGAGGGTGAGGGAAGGCTTGGCTGTGATACAGACGGTGAGGGAAGAGTCGGCTGTGATACAGAGGGTGAGGGAGGGGTCGGCTGTGACACAGAGGGTGAGGGAGGCGTCCGCTGTGACACAGAGGGTGAGGGAAGGCTCGGCTGTGATACACAGGGTGGGGGAAGGGTCGGCTGTGATACAGAGGGTGAGGGAAGGGTCGGCTGTGATACAGAGGGTGAGGGAGGGGTCGGCTGTGATACAGAGGGTGAGGGAAGGGTCGGCTGTGATACAGAGGGTGAGGGAGGGGTCGGCTGTGATACAGAGGGTGAGGGAAGGCTCGGCTGTGATACAGAGGGTGAGGGAGGGGTCGGCTGTGATACAGAGGGTGAGGGAAGGGTCGGCTGTGATACAGAGGGTGAGGGAGGGGTCGGCTGTGATACAGAGGGTGAGGGAAGGGTCGGCTGTGATACAGAGGGTGAGGGAGGGGTCGGCTGTGATACAGAGGGCGAGGGAAGGGTTGGCTGTGATACAGAGGGTGAGGGAGGGGTCGGCTGTGATACAGAGGGTGAGGGAAGGGTCGGCTGTGACACAGAGGGTGAGGGAGGGGTCGGCAGAGGTCCGCCCGCTGGCGCCCGGCTCTGCGGAGGAGTGGAAGAGGGAGGGGAGCAGGGAAGGCAGCCGCCCACAGAGCAGCAGGTAGCGGATGAAGAGGGCGCGGCGGCACTCGTCATGCACCGCGCCGCACACTCAAATGCTGATTGATGATTACGATAATGTGGAAGACGCGTTTTTCTAGTGAATTTCGATTTTTGTCTGCAGCTATGGTACCTATTTATTTATATTGTTTGTTTTTTTTACAACTCAATAGGTACCAACTTCACGGAGAATAAGAAATGTTGTAATTTGCATTGCATAGTGCGCTACAAGGCAACGCAGAGTAGGGCACAAGTTGAGAAACATTTTATGGTGATTGGCAAATATTTTTAGGTAGGTACCTAGGTAGGTAGTAGGTACCTATATCTCTCTTGCAGCGTCCAATGAGTTCAATACCTACCACCTCTTTGGATCTGGAAATGCTTTAACCCTCGCCCGTATAGGGGGGGGGGGGTCGAACGGACCCCCCCCCATGATTTTTCGCGAATAACTCGCGTAAAAAGCGGCCAATCGCGACAAAACTTTCAGTACCCTCGCGTTAATCAATTTTACACCTACCCTGAAAATTTCATGACCCTGACCCCAATGACCTTTGACCTGTGACCTACTTTTCGAGACCATGTTTGGCCGGAATCGCGATTCGGCGTATGTCGGCTCGCATTAGCCGCGCGTTTGCAGTCTTTTCGTGGTTTCAAGCGTTCAAACATGTGATATGATGTTGCCCCCATGCATTAGGGTGGGTGTCAAGGTCACCTGAAGGTCAGGTCAGGTCATTGACCTTTGGTGACCACGGTTCACTTTTTCGAGTTTTACATGTTTCTAGGCTAGTTTTTGGAGCTGAATTCGAATTTAGCAGCCATATGAACGTTTACGAAGTAGTTTTGGTACCTTCGTAACATGTTACGAAGCTATCAGAGGCGGTTGACACCTACTAGGAATACCCGGCAGGACCCCTACTGGTTGACCTGACCTGACCTGACCCGACCTGGACTTAATGCATAAAGACATCATCTGTGATCAAAACTAACATGATATTCGTGATTAGCGCCCCGAAAAAACCCATAGCAGCCACATTTTACGACGTTCTAACAGGTCCCGATTTTCCCAACTTTGGGGTCATTGACCTGACCTGCAAGGTCAACCAATGACTTAGGACCTTAAAATTAGGTATCATCGGCTTCCTCTCGTCACGGGCAACACGCTCGTTTTTTCCGCGAAGCTCTAGCTCGATCAGGGGCGAAACGGCAAGGGGGGGTCCAACGGACCCCCCCCCCCCCTTATACGTTCGCGGCTGGAAAAACACCAATACGGGCGAGGGTTAACCCTAGAACGCCTAGGGGGGGGTGTATCAACCCCCCCCCCCCGAGGTTTTTTCGAAGTGCACGCTAAACGGCTTGTCGTAGCGGGCTGAAATTTTCAATACCCTCTGGGGCAACCTTTGCGCATCTTTTGCCGAAAAAAAATTGATCGGGTCATGTCAGGTCACGGAGTTATCCCGGCAGTTGCTGGGGTATTTCGCCACCCACCGTTTGCTGGGGGGGGGGGGGGGCGTTAAACGCCCCCAGCCGATAACTCGAGAACCAATAGGCGCAGCGAAACGCACGAGGCGGCAAACGAAAGAGCGCGACGAGACGCTTTAGATGAGTACGTTAAAATTGAATTTTGAGGTCACAGGTCGGGTCAAGGTCAGGTCAAACACCTGAAATCGGGCTTTCAGTAGCGTGGACCTCAGGACTTCGCAATGGGCGCCTCTCGCCATAAACTCTGTCAAAACGGTGCACAATCCATCTTATAAGGCCTACAAAAGTGTCAGCTCCATGTAGAGGTCAGTCAAGCATAGGTCAGGGTCAAGGTCAGGTCAACCAGGTAGGCACATATCCCCGAAAATCAAAACTGATATTCGCAGCCTGTGACACATGTTTTATAGGTACCTAATTTGGGGCGTAGAACACGATGGTGACATTCATTTTATCATATGTGTACGTGTTTGGCTCAAAAAGTTCAATTTAGGAAATGCATGTATCATGGTCGTGAAGTAGTCACGAAAAATTGCTAAGATTCAGTTCAAGATTATGGAAAATGCGGAACAATAATCAATAATCGAAGATAGCTAGGTATTTGATTGATCATGGTATTGGCAGTCTAATGGCGTTTACGGCATGTCTGTATGTCTATTCTGTGATTTTATATGATTTTTTGAATATATGCCGTTTTTGGTCGAAAACTCAGAAATCATGACGTCACTAAAACCTCGATATCTCAAAAAATTTCCGACCGAATTTTTTTGAAACTTTGTCACAATAAACTTCAATCAATTCCCTACAGGTACCCAAAATTTGGCGCGCCTGCGGCGCGCCGTTTTTATGCTATGGCCCGGCGAAAAAAGTGGGGGCGTTTAACGCCCCCCCCCCAGCAACTCACGGGTTATGACGTCATAAGAGGTACAGCCTCCGGCCGACAGTTACCAAACGTGTGCGCCGAATCCCTAGGTTTTCTGCCGGTGATACCCACATTGTTTGATGGATCATGATGAAACTTCCCATGCATGTTGGGGCAAGCATTGGCTATCGTGTGGTGCAAGAAAATTGACCGGGTCAGGTCAGGTCACGGAGCTATGACGTCACAAGAGGAACAGCGTCCGGTACTATTTTTGAAAAGCGCCCGAACCACTATTTTGCTAATTCTTGTCACCTCAATGGGAATATGCAGCAATATTAGCTTCTATAGGGAGCAAATGGACCTCCCAAATCCAAAAATACAATCAGATTTCAAAAATTTAAATTTTGATTTTTCGAATTTCTGCCGCCGACTGTGACCTTGCCGACTTCCGGCGCTCCCAACGTGCCATTTTTAGAGCTAGGGAAACGAAATACATACCAAACGATAGAGAATTGATCAAGGAACACGATAGTGAAGGTTTCAAGTCGATATCTCCCACCGTTTTGCCGCAATCGCCGCGGAAAGTTGAAAAAGTTTGATTTTTTTCGGAAAATTTGACCTTTGACCGGTCATAAGTAGGTCAAATGTTGACCTAGGACCAAAAAATATACCACTAATCGCGAGATCTCGTTGAGAGCAATCCGTTGGTTTTTCCGCTAAGCTCTACGACCTTCCGTTTCGAAACGCCAGGGGGGGTCGTAACAACCCCCCCTCGGTCGTTCGTGTTATGAGAAATGGCCTGGTCGTGCGAGGGTTAATAAGTGAGTAGGCCTATCCCGCTGACAGTCAGCGTCTAACAGGTAGGCACTGCCGGATCCGCCACCGACTGCCACTGCCCCGCTGGCGGAGTCTGACTGCCCCGCTGGCGGAGTCTGACCTTGTAGAAACTCAAAGTGCGGCTGGTCGTCCGGTGGCAGCCATTTTCCTGCCAAGATGGCGTCGTAGAGCGCGTGCGCCGTCAGCTGTTGGCGCCTCAGGGGAATGTCGAGACTGAGTCGGCGGCTGCGGGGAAGGAGGGGGGGGGGGGGGGGGTCAGGTGCCGGAGACGGGTCACTGGTCAGCGTGGTGAGGTCGACAAATAACAGAAGCGTCTAAAGATCTTAATTAGATTCGAAAGAAACAGAAGTAAGCAAACAAGTACGGCTCTCGCGAGATTAAGCGGTAGGTAGGTTTTGCACTCTTACATTTCCGGTTATATCTCAGAAACTAATCGATCTACGATGAAGCCATTTTACACGATCATGGCCGGCTTGTGAACCAACAAGTCGATTGCATCTTCCGAGGGGGGAGGCGGGTGCCACCCCCCCCCCCCCATAGGTTTTTTCGCGATAGCTTCGAACACGCTGGCGATAGAGAGCCGAAACTTGGCATACCTGACTTTTGATTCAAGCCGGATCTTTTGACACCAACCGCATTTTCAGGTCAGGTCACTGACCTATAACGTCATAAGTGAACCTCTGCACGGCCTTCAGATGTCGCAGCATCGCAACGCCCTCACTGCCAGAGGAGCTTTCACAGAGAAATAAAACTTGCAGGATCTAGTATCCATCACGAGTCTCACAACTTGTATATCTCGGATTCTTCCTAAAGGTCATATGAGGTCAGGTCATTTTCGTGACCTCACCATTAGGTAGGTATAAGTCAATGGGGAAAAATGAGAACTGCTATTCTGGCACCGGGAACGATCTCCAACTATCTCAAGCACACAGAATTGTGATTTGATGCACTCTTTGCAAGGTCAGATGCTTCACTTTTGCAATGTTGACCTTGCGTGACGTCATTTATGACGTCATTTATGACGTCATCAAGGTCATGTTACTTTTCGTCAATAACTCCCGATCACATTGAGCTAGCGAGTCGGCAAAGCCATCAATGGACTCAGGAAGACCTGCCGAGTCGAATGATATGCGGCATGTCCTCTTTCGACCAACTTCGTGACCTGGGGGCGCTGACCTGACCGTGACCTGAGGTCAACACCCTAAGTTGACCCGACCCAAACAAAAAGTAAATCATTCGACGCGCCTGAGCGAGGCGAACACGATGCTGACAAAATCGCGGCTCTGCGGCCGTTTTTTGCAAAGTAATTCACCAAAAACCGAACCGTACCTTGGGGCACTTGACCTGACCTCAGAGGTCACTGGTTGACCTAGGACCTTAAAACGGATACCTACCAACCACTGCGTCTCGTAACGGCGCACACGTTCGTTTTTTCCGTGACGCGCAAGCTCCACCAGGGGCGAAACGGCGAGGGGGGGGGGGTCGTCAAAAAACTGACTTTTTTGGGAAAATAATTAAAAAATCCAAAATTTTCCGTGTATCGAAAAAAAAACAGAATATATGTCAGAGAAATGGTACATACCAATTTTTAGAAGAATCGGTTCAAAAATGTGGGAGTTATTCAAAATTTTATGACGTCACGACAAACAATTAAAAAATGATTTTTTTTAAGTTCTAGACCTCGTATGGAAGCAAAAATAGCACCATTCGTTTCGCCGTGAAAAACTGCATCAGATAGCCACCTTTTTAGGCCTTAACAACCAACTCAAAATTTGACTTCACTTGACCTGACCTTGACCTGACCTCGACCTGAAATTCATCCAGATGTGGTCCATATCACCTATTGAGTGTGCCTATTGAATTATATGAATAAAATTACCCATAAAACATGTGTCGCACATGCCCTTTTCTATATTTTGTTTTTGGTGACCTGACCTGACCTGACCTTGACCTTGACCTCTGAATGATATTGTTTGCAACGAATATTTTCTTGGTAGCCTAAGAACATGTTTTGTCCGTTCTGGCGGGAGGTTTTTAGTAAATGGGATGCCTTCAAAAAGTGTTTTGAAGTCTTACCGGAAAATGTTAAGACGCAACCTTTGTTTTTGTCCTCCTTCTTCAAGCGTAATCACAAAGTTATGTGGGATGGCCGTCTATACAGAGCTGGTTTTACCAATGTAGGTGACATTTCGACGGATGAAAGAAGGTTTATGAATATTGCTGAAATAAACAACACTTATGGCTTGCGTCTCCAACAGCTTGAATTCGCGGGCATTGTTAGAGTAATAAGGACAGCATATACGGGGGAGTTGCCACCTCATGACATTGGACCTAAAATGCAGCCAGCGTTGGCAACTCTCTTAGGATGTAAGGGAGGATGTAGGATATACTATAAGACAATGCTACAGCATAAGTACTTTAAAACACGGGATGGTTTAAAATCACAAATAAAATGGAATAATGATCTACAGTGTCAGCTAGAATGGGACCTCATTTACAACAGATTTGCGAGCTGTACTAAAAATAATACTCTTAGATGGTTCCAGGATAGATTAGTACACAGAATATTAACGACAAACGTTTTCGTGTCAAAATTCACTGAAGAAAGTCCATTGTGTACATTCTGCAATGCAGATAGAGAGACGCTTCTGCATCTTTTTTGCTGAGTGCGAACAGGTACAATGTGTTTGGAGAGCAATGGTGAGCAGGGTCAGGGAGCGATTGCATTACAATGTTGTTCTAAGCAAACGTGCAATAATTGTTGGATTCGAGGAAAATGAGACATTTCATATGGCTGATGCTGCAGCTGCTATTCAGGGACTGTTTTTGCTAGGGAAATATTATATTTACAGAACAAAAGTGGCACAGCATGGTATAGGAATAGCTGATATGTTTTCATTCTGTGATTTTATGACAAGGGCAGAGTTTGGTAATATGCGAGTGGGCATGGCCGATACAGAAAAGAAGAAGGTAGAGGTGCATCAAAAACTTTGTCTCATTAGCTACACATCTCACCAACAGGGACAACGAGCGTAATAACAGGACATATAGGGCGGGCGAGGTTCGGACGCTGAGCTGTCGCCAGATTTTCACCCCGCCCGTTCCCATCCGTGACCGCCCCTGAGGTTTTACCTGGGACCGGTCCGCTGGCCGGGCGTGCGACAGGTGTCCGGTTCTGTGTACTTTATGTACTGCTATGTAATTGTCAGTTATGTAAATATATTTGTGAAAAAAAGAACATGTTTTGGGCAATCAGTCTCAGTCCATTCTTCGGCAACTACTGTGCAAGGCCGATACTGATACTGTAGAAACTTGCAATTTGTACCCTTGACCTGACCTTGACCTTGAACTCAAACTCTAAATTAAGTACATGTTTTTAGTTGTTCGTGATGAGATCTTTCGATTGGCGTTTGGATTTTCCAAATCGGACCATTAGTTCGGGAGATAACGGGGGGGGGGAGTAAAATTTACCCACCCCCGGCCCCGCGCGTTCGGCTGGAGACCCCAGCCCCGCGTGGGTTAATCAGGCAGTATTAGTTTCATTGTAAATGTATATATTTGTACTCTGCAGCCTATGTAAGGAAATATTTTGTAATTGTATCTATTATATTTGGTAATATATTATATAATTGTTTTATAATACTCCTATGTAATGTTATGAAACCCTTAGGAGAAGTGCCTGTGCCTAACTGCAGCTGCTATCGATTTGAATTTCAATGTGTTTGCGCCAAAAAGGAAAATAAAGCAGAGTGAGTTGAAGAAGGCGTAAGCCGAAAGCTCCTCGGAATCATCAGGCCTTTTTCTTACGATTTTGGATATTAACTATGAGAGTACCTACGGTTACTTTACTTGATTATATGTTTAAACATGTCTCTCAAAACAGTGCTAACAGCAATTAAGGGTAACTAGGTCTAAAAAAGGAAAATGAACAATTACCTTTTTAAGAGATGTTCATGTTTGCATCCCAGTTCAGTTAGAAAGTCCAATCTTACCTCTTTCACTCCTCCTTTTCACATCTCCTTCCGCTCGTGGTTGTGATTTCTGTCCTCTGCCGGCTGCTCTCTATTCTCTTACACCTGACACCCGACCTTCGGTTTCTGACCTCCGTACTCTGACCTGCTGCTGGACTGTGTCCTCCGTACTGTCCTCCGTATACTGACCTCCGTACTGTGCTCCGTACTCTCCCCGTACTGTCCTGCGTATACTGACCTCCGTACTGTCCCCGTACTGTCCCCGTACTGTCCCCGTAATGTCCTCCGTATACTGTCCCCGTACTGTCCCCGTACTGTCCCCGTACTGTCCCCGTACTGTCCCCGTATACTGTCCCCGTACTGTCCTCGTACTGTCCCCGTACTGTCCTCCGTATACTGTCCCCGTACTGTCCCCGTACTGTCCCCGTACTGTCCCCGTACTGTCCCCGTACTGTCCCCGTACTGTCCCCGTACTGTCCCCGTACTGTCCCCGTAATGTCCTCCGTATACTGTCCCCGTACTGTCCCCGTACTGTCCCCGTACTGTCCCCGTACTGTTCCCGTACTGTCCCCGTACTGTCCCCGTACTGTCCCCGTACTGTCCCCGTACTGTCCTCCGTATACTGTCCCCGTACTGTCCCCGTACTGTCCCCGTACTGTCCCCGTACTGTCCCCGTACTGTCCTCCGTGTACTGTCCCCGTACTGTCCCCGTACTGTCCCCGTAATGTCCCCGTATACTGTCCCCGTACTGTCCCCGTACTGTCCCCGTACTGTCCCCGTACTGTCCTCCGTACTGTCCCCGTACTGTCCCTATATACTGTTCCCGTACTGTCCCCGTATACTGTCCCCGTACTGTCCGTATACTGTCCCCGTACTGTCCCCGTACTGTCCCCGTACTGTCCCCGTGTACTGTCCCCGTACTGTCTCCGTACTGTCCCCGTACTGTCCCCGTACTGTCCCCGTACTGTCCCCGTACTGTTCCCGTACTGTCCCCGTACTGTCCCCGTACTGTCCCCGTGCTGTCCTCCGTATACTGTCCCCGTACTGACCCCGTACTGTCCTCCGTATACTGTCCCCGTACTGTCCTCCGTATACTGTCCCCGTACTGTCCCCGTACTGTCCGTATTACTGTCCCCGTACCTGCTGCTGGACGTGTGTCCCCCGTATTGCTCCGGCCGCTGGGAGTAGATGTTCAGGTGCAGTACAATCTGTGAACAAAAAGAAGGTAAAAGAAACAGAAACAGCCCAATTCAAAGGGTTCCGCGATTTTCTCTACTTCTTAGACTTCGTCCAATTTTCTAGTAGAGCAAACCTGAACTCATCAAAAGAGCCTGAAATAGTCAGTCTGCACTCTGCACGTATTTGGATCATTGCAATCAGTTATTTGGTTTAGATGTGACTTCTCTGAACATCTGTAGAATTTTGTTAAAAAGCGTTCTTGACAATGTAAAGATGCGCGCATCAATGTCTCCTGCGTGTTAAATAAATATTTCTTATGTTTACCACCCTCTAGCTAATTTGTCGGTGACGCTGGCTATAAAGTACACATTTGTTTTGTCTCGGTTTCGGTTCGGCGCGGCGGTTCGTCAGCACTCACCTTGTGCAGGTCGTCCTGGCTGCCGCCGAAGCCGCCCTCTCCGCCGTCCGACCGGCTCCCCGGGTAGCCGTCCCGCCGGCTCCCCCGTTGGCTGCCCGTGTCCTCGAGGTAGCTGGGGCTGAACCGGTGCTGTCCGCCGGGCCCACCCGGCGTGCCGCCGGCGCCCGAGTGGCCGCCGCTGTTGTCGTAGTAGCCGTTATTGTTGGAGTAGCCACCATTGTTGGTGTAGCCGTTATTGTTGGAGTAACCGTTATTGTTGTTGATGTAGCCGTTATTGTTGTTGGAGTAACCGTTATTGTTGTTGGAGTAACCGTTATTGTTGTTGGAGTAACCGTTATTGTTGGAGTAGCCGTTATTGTTGTTGGAGTAGCCGTTATTGTTAGAGTAGCCGCCGTTATCGTAGTAGTCACCATTGTTGGCGTGGCCGTTATTGTTGGATTGATAACGGTGTCTATCATTATGGAAGTCGTTCTCCCTATTGTCTGAGTTTCGATAGCCGTCATTGTTGTAATAATTAAAATCGCTATTATAATTGTTGTTGTAGCTGTTATACCTGTTGTTATCGTTTCTGTTGTAGCTGTTACGGTAATTGTTATTCTCCTGGCTGTTGTACTTGTTGTCATTGTTGTAGCTATTGTCATTGTTGTGGTGATTGTTGTACACGGTATGGTCGTCGCGGTTCTGTCTGTCGAACCGGTTCCGGCCCCGGTGACCTGAACCGAGGTAGAAGTTGGACGACTGATACCTGCGGACGAGTACCGAGAATAGGGTCATGAGGTCAGGTCAGCGGTCATCAGGTCAGGTCAGTGGTCATCAGGTCAGGTCAGTGGCAATCAGGTCAGGTCAGTGGTCAACAGGTCAGATCAGCGGTCATCAGGTCAGGTCAGTGGTCATCAGGTCAGGTCAGTGGCCATCAGGTCAGGTCAGTGGCCATCAGGTCAGGTCAGTGGTCATCAAGTCAGGTCAGTGGCCATCAGGTCAGGTCAGTGGTCATCAGGTCAGGTCAGTGGTCATCAGGTCAGGTCAGTGGCCATCAGGTCAGGTCAGTGGTCATCAGGTCAGGTCAGTGGCCATCAGGTCAGGTCAGTGACCATCAGGTCAGGTCAGTGGCCATCAGGTCAGGTCAGTGGCCATCACGTCAGGTCAGTGGCCAGCAGGTCAGAAGTCACCAGTCAGCTGAGAGGTCACCGGGTCAGGTCGACCTTCATCAGGCTAACTCAGGGCTTATCAGTCAGCTCAGAAGTCATGGGTAGGCTTATCGGTTATCAGATCAGGTCAGTGGCCATCAGATCAGGTCAGCCGTCTGTAGTTCCATGAGGCCACCTCTCTGCAGTCACAGTCTGTTTCCCAGCTGCAGGGAGGCGTTTCCCTCAGTTAGGAGTCCTTCAGGAGCTCACAGCGGCTGTGGAGCCACCAAAGCACTGCTCCCGGGGCAGCGAGCCATCCCAACTGGGGCTCAGATGGACTGGAAGTGATGACCCCTTGGTATTTGCCTTTATTATTTTGTTGGTATTATGAATCCCCACTAATGTAAAAGAGGCTGAGGATTTGGTAAAAAGTTGGTATTCCCCTCATATTCCCAAGTCGGTTCGGTTTCGGTATTTTTCCATGGGTATTGTTGGTATTTGGTTTGGTATCGTTATCACGATTTTCCATAATTGACATCGCTACTTCACTACTGTCCTGGTCATTAGTGTGTATTGAAACGACATAAAAAAAATCGTTTATAGGTACCGAAATACACATCAGCCTACTAGGTACACATAACCAAGACAGGGCTACGAAAAGTCATTTTTATTTATTTTTCATTTTTTACATATAATGCACTTTTCTAGACGAGCTTTGTCCCAGGAATATAATGCTGCCATTTTTGTTTACCTACATGCGATGTTTAGAAGTGCCTAAAAATCACGAAAATGATTATGACGGGGGGCGGATATCCGCCCCCCCCCGTCGGTGCGCGTGTTAATACGACAAATGGTTGCACGCGTCCGACTCGGCGCCAAAGTTTCAACCCCGTAGCCCGCACCAACCTGGAGCAACAGCCCGCCAAAGGGAACTGACGCGTTTCATACATACAGAGACAGACATTTTGAATTTTATAAGAGTAACTAGAGGGACAGCATTAGGGGAGAGTGGGGTAATTTGGCCGCTTTTTTTTAGAAAACGATGTAACTAAAAATCGACAACACCTTTCTGCATTTTCTCAACGCTGACAGGTGTGGCATACATTTTACTTTCCTGGACAGTAAACTTAAAATGATAGGGTGAATACTTATATTGAAATTGTGACGTATTACAAAGGTCTGCAAAGCGGCCAAATTGCCCCACTAGCAGGATTATTTGGCCGGGGGTGTGGGGCAATTTGGCCGGTGTTAGTTTGAGGCCATGATTTTTGTTATCGGCGAGTCAGCTTCACATTCAGCAATGACGCGTGACCTACGACGCATTTGAAGCATTTTGGAGGTTGACTCAGCCGTCACAGGGGTCGAAAATAGTAAAAAAAGCGGCTCTAAATGCGATGACAGTTTTTTTACGAATAGCTTTTGAAGTAATCAAGATAGGCCAAAACTAAAAGTACCATCGTGATACTCTCGTCATTCCGCATCGAAACATGTATGTGTTGACCTCGAAAGGTCAAGGTCAAATGTTGGCTTCAGGTCACGTTACCTCAGGTCGCTTGACCGCAAGGTTACGTGAGTTCAAGGTCATCATGTATATCATTCGATGCGCCTTGACGAGCTGAACACAATGAGACCACTTGCGCGGCTGTATCTTTTTTCTGTAAGTATTTATTAGCAAAAAAAAGACGTTAGGTAACCGTTGATGACGTCACATGTCGTTACAGCTGTCCAATAGGAAATATGGCATGAAGGTAGTCAACGTTGGTCATGAATTATGTCCTTTATGGTATAATTGACCGTGACAACTCGGCCGTCCCAGCATAGTGACTCTGAGCGCACCGGCCAAGTTGCCCCGCTAGTCCCGGCCAAATAACCCCACATTGCCATTCTGAAAATGTTTGTCTATAAAGTCGTCATGGCTGTACAGAACTAGATGAAATTGCTCTTGGAACCGCTGAACACCCTCAAGAATGGCGCTATAATGTTGGAATTTACTTACAGCCCAAATACTACATGTTATACAAACTTTTAAACGGAAGTAAAAGTTACCATTTTCTAACGAAATTCACGTTTTATTAATTTTGAATAAAACTGAGAGGGGGAAAGTTTTGACATTTGTTCTCGAGCTATTTCTGCCGATGACAAATGAATAGAGACTAAGTTATTTCATTCACTTTTATCAGCTTTCGTACAGGTGGGGGCGGCCAATTTACCTACACCACCGGCCAAATTACCCCACTCTCCCCTACGCGCAGCGTAATGCATCAATTTTCATTAAAATCGGCCCAGTAGGCAGTAGCGACTGAGTTATTGCAAGAATAAATTTGGCGACTCCTCCTGGCCGGCGGTGCCCTGCGCCGGTGCTCATTGTCAAAGGTCAACGATCTGCTGGCTCTGATTTCGCTCAGTTTTGCAAGCGAAGAAACTGAGCTTACGGCACGTGCTCTCTGATCGGCGCCGGCCGCGGCCCAAAATGCCGCAAAGATGCACCCGCCACGTGGAAACCGGCGAGCGCACCCCCACCAAAATTTAATACGACAAATGGTTGCACGCGCCCGACTCGGCGCCAAAATTTCACCCCCGCAGCCCGCACCGTTCCGGAGCAACAGCCCACCAAAGGGAACTGACGCGTTACATACATACATACGTACAGACGTTTTGATTTTTATATAGGCAAACTAGGTTTCCAGCATTACGCGCAGCGTAATAAATCCATTTTCATTCAAATCGGCCCAGTTGCGGCTGAGTTATTGCCAGAATAAATTTGGTGACTCCTGGCCGGTGGTGCCCTGCGCCGGTGTTCGTTGCCAAAGGTCAATGACCTGCCGGCTCTGATATCGCTCAGTTTTGCAAGCGAAGAAACTTAGCCTACGGCACGTGCTCTCTGCTCGAAGCCGGCCGCGGCCAAAATTTCGCAAAGATGCACCCGCCACGTGCAAACCGGCGAGCCCACCCCCTCCAAAATTTAATACGACAAATGGTTGCACGTGCCCGACTCGGCGCGAAAATTTCAGCCCCGCAACCCGCGCCGTCGCCCCGCAACAGCCCGCCAAAGGGAACTGACGCGTTACATACATACATACGTACAGACATTTTGATTTTTATATAAGCAAATAAATCACATCTCCAAACAATGTGCGCTAGTCAGTTTTCTCAGTACCTAATTTAGCTTAAGCTAGCAATTCTCGTGCTATGTTCAAAGCTATTTTTACAATGAGTGTCGAAGTTAAAAACGAGCTATAGGCTCTAGTCTACATAGTCCAGGCTCCGACCGCACCGTGACTAACTTTCAGTGACGCGGTCTGTGCCCCGGCAGTATGTCGAGTGCACGGAAGTCTGCACTATGGCAAATCAGTAGGGATCATAGGTGTAGCAACGTATCTCTTTGGTGAAGGATACCTTTCACCAAAGTTTTAGATTGGTGAACAGGGACGGCGCCACAGGGGGGGCAGAGGGGGCAGCCGCCCCCCAACTCTGAACACTGGGGCCCTCTTTCAGCCAGCAGGTCAGGTATGGGCGGAATACTCTCTGACTGTGCAGAAAGAAGACTTCTGGGCAGAGCTGTAGAAATGACTTCAGGAGTGGGGAATTAAGCCAAAAGGGGCCTTCTCAAGGTGCCGCCGCCAAGATAAAACTTACGGGCTTTGGCCCATGTTTTTGGAAAAGGGCCCAATTAAGCACAAAAAAGTGAAAGAAAATCATTTATTTTGTATCTTGGGTGATTGTGGCCCTGTCCTATCTTCCCAGGCTGTAGAAACGGCCCGGGCCAAAGAGGGCCCATGCCACGTCTGAGAGGGCCCATTCAATATTGAAAGGGCCCAGGCAAGGTCTGGGAGGTAAGTAACATATTATGTCTGAGAAGGGGAGGGCCCATACCAGTCATGACAGGGCCCGCAGCGGTGCTCAGATGGCCCTTGGAAGGAGTGCGAGAGCCTGTAAAATGCCTGAGAGGGCCCATACCAGCCGTGACAGGGCCCATATCAGTACTGAGAGGGCCCATAACAGTACTGAGGGGGCCATCGCAAGTAATGTGAGGGCCCGTACCTTGACATATTACTGAGGGTTATGTCAGTCAATGACAATCATGGAAGGGCCCCCAGCAGTATTGAGAGGACTGTTGCAATGACTAGGAGGGCCCGCACCATACCTGAGAGGGCCCATACCACTCATGCGAGGGCCTGCAGAGTGCAGCAGTACTGAGAGGGCCATTAAAAGGTCTGGTAAGGTCCTTAGAATGTCTGAGAGGGTACATAGCAGGCCGCCTCAGGAGCCCCCTAGTAGTATAAAAAGACCCATATCAAGCCTCTGAGGGTCCCTACCAGTCAAAAAAGGGCCTTTACCGGGCTCCAATGGCCATGCCAAACTGAGGATCTACCGAACTTCAGAAGGCCCATACCAGACCTCAGGGGCCCCAACTAGGCTTCAGAAGGACCATATCAGGTCTCAAGGGGCCAAGCCAGGTCTCTGAGACCTCTACTAGGCCTTAGAAGGTTCATAATAGACTTAATGGGGACCAGGCCACAAAGTGCCTATACCAGGCTTCAGATTGTCCATACTAGGCCTAATGGGGCGTAACAGGTCTCTGAATGCCCATTCAAGACCTCAGAGGGCCCATATCCAG